TTGATCAGGTGAAAGCCCCATGTCCCGGCTTTTTCTGAAAGCAATCAGGAGGAAGGGCAGGTGTCCTGTGCTGATGGGGGGGGAATCCCTGGGGTGGGGCTCAGGGATTTCTCCCCCTTTACTGGGGTGCACAACCAGAGTGCAGAGACACTGTTGGGGGGCTGCAGAGGCTCGTCTTTCCTGTCTGACCACCCCAGCACCACGGGGGCTGCCACCAAGGTGGGGATTTGTCCCAAGTGCTTTGGGACACCGGGAGAGATGTGAGCTGGGAGCCAGGGCTCTGGCAGCCTGCAGTTGGAGGGGAATCCCTGGCAAAGCGAACAGCCCCGTTTGCAGGTGGCCTGCCTGAACACAGGTTTCGCTGCTCGGTTTATTTTCCACTCAGTGCTCACTTAGCATCTCTAATATCCCAGGGAGTGAGTGTAACAGGTACACACCTGTGTGTGGCAGGGATCTGCAAGGTGTCCAAAAACAGCCAGACTGGATGTGGCACTGGCACAATCCCGCCGAGGAGCTGAGTTTTGCAGCTAATACTATTCTCTGTGTCTTCTCGCCACCTTTGTTTTGGAAGCAAATGGCCCCCTCGCTGCATTGAATTGCCCGGCTACCTTGCATAGCTGGGATCTAATTACCTCTGGAGCTGGGAGCCCAGTCTCCAAGTGGCACTGAGGCTTTTGTTTTTAATGACTTGCTCAGCCGCCTTCAGAGTGTGACAATGTAGGGGAGCCTGCCAGGACGGGCTGCTGGTGCCACCGTGCTCGTACCGCGATGGCTCACCGTGCTCGTACCGCGATGGCTGCAGCCGGGCTGGGAAAGCTCATGGGAGTCAGGATGGCTCAGGCCAAGCATCCATGGCACAGTGCCTGGTCAAAAACACAATAAATGGGTCTAGTGATGAGCACAGCTCTCTGCGATGTCCTGGGAAGCAAGATGGTTTGCATCCTCCTCTATCGTGATGCTTGGGCAGAGGGAAAGTGTGACAGCCCCAGCCTGCGGCAGGGCAGCCCCCAGAAAGAGCGAGGAGCGGTGGGGAATGGTGCACAGCCGGGCTCTCGCCTCCCTCCCCGTGCCGCGAGCTATCTCTGGCCTCCTGTTAATGTTTACAAGGCAGGTCTGTCCAAAGACCAGATCCCTCCTCGGTTCTCCGTGGGATCCTGCTTCCTGCTGGGACAGGGCTGTGGGGCTGTCACGGGGAGGAAAAACCCAACTCCCCCCCAGTGCCTGCGTAACACTATTGGCCCCGCTCTCCCTCCGGCCATCTCCAGCTTCCCCGCTCGCGGGCGCAGGTACGCGGGGTGAGCTCCTGGGACATCGCCAGCACACCACTGCCCCGGGCATCTCCGTTTACAGGCAGCTCCTGCCAGGTGGAGGGGGGGGAAAGGTATTTTTAGGGCTGTTGATCTGACACCAGCTGAGTTTCCTCTCCTCTGAGGCTGGGGTTCGAGGAAAGGGCAGGGGAGGAAGCCATCGGGTGAGCTTTGTTCTGTTTTCTGTGTTTAATTGGACCAAGGTCACTCCCTACCACTTTTATCTGTGGCAGATATTTTCTTGCTTCTCACTAGTTCATGTTTACAGTTTTTTCCCTCAGGCAATAGTTACCCAGCAGCTAAAATCTTTGTCTATTAACAATGAACCAAGAAGCATCTATATTGTTGGAGCTGTGCTCACAGGTTGTTGATGGTTTTTATTTTTTTAAACCACTATTGTTATACTTGGGGAAAAAGCAGCTTTCCACAGATTACAGCAAGAGAGGCCAAACATGGCAGTTTATGCATCTGTTGGCCTTGAGATATGAAGCTGCCCTATAAATAAGAGCATATTATTAGGCTGGTCCTTGCTGTCTGGAGGCACAGGGTACACAGTGCCCCTACGCTGGGCTTCAAGGAGGGCTGACGTGCTGGGGAGATGCTGGAGCGCTTCAGCATCCCCAAAGGGCAGCAGCTCTGCCTGCGGTGTGGCAGGATTGCTCCCGTGTGATTAATTCGGGTGCGGGACGGAGCGCTGGCTGCCCTTCAGGTCTTGGGGTTGGTGTTGCTGGCACACCCTCACGATTCCAAAATGGCCAAGGCGAGTCAAACACCCTGGGTGATGCCAAACCTCCAGCCCTGGGGTTTGCCCCCAGCAGGCTATGCACAAGGAAAGGAGACAAATCTGGTGGGGGGGACACCACAGGGATCCCCATGTTTTCTGGGCTCCCAAGGAGGACATCAATGTCCTGATGGCTTGTTGGTACAGGGCTTGTTCTTATCATGGGTGAGGGATGAGTTTAACCCTTAAGTTTGTGGTTCCTGATGGAAAAGGGTCACAAATGTGAGCTCACGGGGGCACAAGTGCAGGCAGGACTTTCCTTTTCAAGCGGTATCGTGACACCTGAGGAAAGAAGGAGCAAGGCAGGGAAGGAGAAACATGTGTTTTGGGGGACACGAGGACCGCATGCACCTCCTTGGAGAAAAGAGGGTCTGCTCTTGGAGGACCTTTGAATTTTCCTGCTGGGAGAAGCAGACCAAAGCATGGTGAATAGGCTGGTTGGGTGAGGGACATCTTGGACAAAGCCTGGGGAGGAGATAAACCTCACAGGAGGTTTGTCCATACTGTGTGGGCTGGGAAACCTGCTGGGACCTTCCCCTTCACCAGCTTACCTCGGTCCTGCCTTCCTGTGCCGCTCCCCTTGCCTCTCCCTCCCTGCAGATGAGTAATGCCACACGTGCCTTGCCCTCTCCGATGGCACCTGGCACGCTGGGGACCGGCACAGTGTCCAGGCTGGCCTCAGCCCCCTCATCCCTGGCCCTCACCCTGGCCACAACTGCCCACAACGATTCTGAGGATGGCCAGCAGCTTTTCCTGACCACAACAACAGCGCACGTCATCTCTGGCATCTTCGTGTGGTCAGCGCTCATCGTCACCTTCCACCAGGTACGGCATGGAGCGGAGATGGGGCTCAGTGCTGGGACTGACACAAAGGCAAATTTATTGATTGCCCCAAGTTCATTGGAAATCCCTCACCTCTGGGTGGATATTTCCTCCTGTTGCTGCCCAGAGGAGATATCTCCACTGTCAGGAGCCTGGTGCTGGCAGCCTGGGAGGGTGGACTTTGCCCACGCGCTCCCGGGAGAGGCTGCAGGGCATCAGCACTGCCCGGTGGCAACACCCAGCAGGGTTTCTCATCCAGCACACCGGGGTCTGTGGCTTTGGGGTGTGTGCCGCCAGCTGCCTGGGAACATACTGCCGGTGGACATGTTTTTGGGCGCTGTGCAGATCCATGCTGCTGAAGGCAGCCCTGGGACAAATTGGTGCCTCTGAGCACTGGGATGGGGCTGCACATGGGCTGGCATGGAGGAGGGCATGCTCCCCGCACAGCGCCGGTGAAGGGACCCAATTTCTATGTGTTTTCATGGAAGGGATTGCCCCGGGGACTGGGATGGAGCCTGTCTCATGCCTGTTCACTGTGATGGGGCTGTGGTGGAACGCTGGCAGTGCTCTTACCCCCAGGAGGAGGGCTGACATGGGACGAGCCTCCTGCAGCCCTGTGGGCACCTCTGGTTCCCCTCCTGACCGGTGGTAGCCACAGCTCTGCACGCTGGACACTTTGCAGATCTACACACACCTGAGGAATTACACCATTCCCAAGGAGCAGCGCTACATCATCCGCATCCTCTTCATCGTGCCCATCTATGCTTTCGACTCCTGGCTCAGCCTCCTCCTCCTTGGCAGCCACCAGTACTATGTCTATTTTGACTCGGTGCGCGACTGCTATGAAGGTGAGTGAAGCCTCTCCTTGGCAGGGAGGCTGGTGGCAAAGCAGGGCTCTCATCTCACTGTCCCATGTCTCTGAAGTGTCCTGGATTGTACAAAGTGGCAAATCTCCATCTCTTTCACTTCCCATATTACCTTCCTCCGTACAGAGGTTTTCCCCATCCTTCTCCAGCAGCAGCAGGGAAGGGACGCCCCATGGACAGACACGAGCTGACGCCTTTCCATCACTTGCCTGTAGGCTCAGAGGGACCCCAGTGTCATGCCAAAAAAGGGGGGTTTTGGTTGCCTTTGGGGTAGAAATGCAGCTTCTCTAAAGCAGAAGGTAGACAGAAGTTGAGGAGTTGGGATGTTTTGAGGTGCAGGGGAAGCTCGTCAGGGTTGAGGTTGCTCTTCCTCTTTGTTGCTCTCCTCCTTGGGTAGCAGAGGGGTGTGGGCACATGTATTACTTCAGGTTTGGAGTATGTGGAAAACAAGTGATGGGGATGTCCAGGAAAACTGTCCAGGACCTGCTCCTTGCCGACCACCAGCTGCTTGTGCTGCCTCTTGGCATTTTTGAGGTTCTTCCATGCCTGGGCTTGTGGGGGTGTGTGTGGCAGCTGGCTCCACAGACACTGCTGGGATGTCCGACCGTTGCCACGTGCATGCAGGGGCTGCGTGTGCATGGAGGAGCTGCTGCATCTGCAACGAACCCTGTGCACATGGGACGGTGTGTCTGTCTCTGCTTGGAAGTCAGATGGATTTGACCTGCTGCTCCTTTTGCTGGGCTCCCACCCACCAGTGTCCCAAATTCTGATGCAATGCTGGGGTGGATAAGACACCTGAGCAGGAAGGAATGTGAAATGGAACAACCACCACCCCAGATCTCCATCAGCCCAGCTGATCGTGTCTTGCCCTTGCCTTGCCAGCTTTCGTGATTTACAGCTTCCTGAGCCTGTGCTTCGAGTACCTTGGCGGGGAGAGCACCATCATGACGGAGATCCGAGGGAAGCCCATTGCGTAAGTGCCACGAGTTCCTCAGCCCTCCACCTGCTTTCCTCATCCAGCAGCCCCAATGGCATCTCCTCGCCTTCTGCTTCCAGGTCCAGCTGTGTTTACGGGACCTGCTGCCTTCAGGGCATGTCCTACTCCATCGGGTTCCTGCGCTTCTGCAAGCAGGTGGGTGCATCAGCTCTGCTCTCCTCTGCAGCAAGGGACAAAGCTCTGCCTTGCTGCTCTCCCAAGATGCTCTTTTTGGTTGGTTTGTTGTTTTTTTTTTTCTCCTCTGAGGGAGCTCACCCAGCTCCCGGCTCCTGGCCAGCAAGCAGGGCACTGCGCTGGCTGTCCTTGCCTCTGACTCACTGCTGAGTCAGGGTCTCCTCCCACTGCGGAGCTGAGATTGCCATCTCTGTCCAGCCCCAGGTTAGCCTGGACGGCTCTCTGACTCTCCAGGGCTGTGCTGCAGGCCAAATTCTGTCACTGGTCTTTCCCAAAGCCACCCAGTCCCCCACCTCAGAGTGGCTATGCTGCCTTCCAGGAGCTGCCTTTTGGGAGCCCTGCTCCCTGCTGTCTGCAGACCTTGCGCTGGTTCACAGTTCACCCCGCAGCATCTATCACTGCTGTGGTGGAGAACTGCCCCCTCCTCTGGGTCTCTGTCCCAGGAACAGAGGGGTTGGCTCGTGTGGAGGGGCCGCGGGTGACAGGAGCGGCAGGGAGGGCGGTGGGATGTCCCTGCTGCCCCGGGTGCAGTGTGTCTCTCCCCTGTGCAGGCCACGCTGCAGTTCTGCATCGTGAAACCCCTCATGGCGATCATCACCATCATTCTGCAGGCGTTTGGGAAGTACCACGACGGGGACTTCAAGTGAGGATGCTGGGTGGGGCTGGGGAGGGTGAAGGGGACAGGATGGGTTCCTGCTCCATCACAAGGGACAGGGGGTCCTGCCAGCCCCCCTCGGGGAGCTGCTCCTGTGAGAGTGCAGGGAGCCCAAAGTGCCAGGGAACGGAGGCTCACTGCCCCCAAATAAAGACGAAACTCCTGTGAGCCATAATAAAAGAGGTCCCACCAACAGAGGAAAAGCTGAGAGTGGCCCCCTGCTTCCCCCTTTCTCCTTGCCTCTCCCTCCCCTCCTGGGCTGTGTGTTCCCCATGGCAAAGCCACGCACTTCTCCCCCACCCCATTTCTTCCTTCTTTCTCTCTCCCCACAGCGTCCAAAGCGGCTACCTGTACATCACCATCATCTACAACTTCTCCGTCAGCCTGGCACTTTACGCCCTCTTCCTCTTCTACTTTGCCACCATGGACCTGCTGCGCCCGTTTGAGCCAGTCCTCAAGTTCATCACCATCAAGGCAGTCATCTTCCTCTCCTTCTGGCAAGGTGGGTCCCACCACAGATGCCCAGCGCTTCTCCTCCCGTAGCCCCACCCGACCCAGGATTGCAGGACCAGAGCTGATCCCTCTCCCTTCCCCTGCACAGGGACCCTGCTTGCAATCCTGGAGAAATGTGGGGTGATCCCTGAAGTTCAGATCATCGATGGGAAGGAGGTGGGAGCTGGAACGGTGGCTGCTGGCTACCAGAACTTCATCATCTGCATTGAGATGCTCTTTGCTTCCATTGCCCTGCGCTATGCATTCACCTGCCAGGTGTACAGAGAAAAGAAAGAAAACTCAACAGGTAACTCTTCTTGTCTTCTTCCTTCCTTCATCAGTGAATAAGGAAAGAGGAAACACCCCCTTAGAGCATTACCAATGGGATGCTAAAAGCCAATAGAGGAGTTTCCTTCTCTGGTACTCTATGAGGTCCTTCTCCCTCTTCCCTTGTGGTACCCACGAGCCACAGCGAGTGGAGAGGAAAAGAGACCTTGGTGTGGATGGGCAGAATTAGGGGATTACGGTATTACAGCACATGCTGCTAGAGAGGTTCCACCCTCCCTGAAACATGGAGCTGGGGTTGCCTTTCTTCTGCTTGGCACTCGCAACCGCAAGCTGATGTGGCCCACAATGAGGCTCTAATCTCGAATTTCTAAGGAAAAGTGTCACTCCAGTCTTGGAGTGCTCGGGCTCATTGATTGTCTGATGTCCCATCACCCTCCCGCTCTCCCTCTTTTTCAGCAAACCTTGCCCCGATGCAGAGCATCTCGAGCGGGCTGAAGGAGACCATAAGCCCCCAGGACATTGTGCAGGATGCAATCCACAACTTCTCGCCCGCGTACCAGCAGTACACCCAGCAGTCAATGCAGGAGGCAGAGCACAAAGCGCCGGGGGAGAACGGGCACGTGGCCTCCAAGGTGGAGGGACTGAGCGGCAGAAAGAGCAAAAACATTGAGAAGAGAGTGCTGATTGTGTCAGATGAGGAGCTTTAGGAGACGTCAGAGGGGACAGTGATGCTGGAGAGGTTTAAACCCATGCAAATGGGAGCTGCCTTGAGCCTCAGACAACCTGGTCTAATTGGAGTCCCGAGAAGCCAGGAACTCTACTCAAAAAGCCAGTCTCTCGAAGGGAAGATGCAATAACCCAGGGAAAAGTTAAATCAAATAGTGCCAGCTTCTGCTGTCCTGTCTCTACTGGTGTTAGGGACTGGGCTGTCTCTGCTCCTGTGTCTGAGCAGCCCCACGTTGCAGTCTCGGCTTTGCCGCCCCGCTGCTGGTGTCTCCATGCCAGCCCCATGCCCACACTGGGGGTGGGGGATGCTGGTCTGGGGGAGAGCCAGGCTGCAGGATGGGGCAGCTGCCTTCACCCTCCTCTTACCTCCAAGCAGCGCTGAGGCCTGAGAGAAATGCTTTTCTCAGCACAGTTCTGTTCTAGTTTCTCCCAATTTGAGTAAAAAATTATCTCAAAGGGCCCCGTGGAGAAAACCAGCCCAGGAAGGTGACTTCACTTCACCTCAAAACCTGGTAACGGTTGAAAGACGTCATTCCTTATTTTTACACCCTCTCCCCTCTCCTTCCCCCAGAAAAGCCTATGCAGTTGTACAGAAGACCTTTACCAGGGAGGAAGAGTAAGTCATCCTCTCTCCCTCCAGCCGGGATGCAGCTGTCTGAGTAACTCCCCCAGGAGCTGCGCAGGACCTCACTGGGGCTAAGGCAGGGTCTCGCAGCTGCATTCTGAGAGCTGCTGGTGACAGAAGTGCTTGTTTATGTCTAAACTGACTTATCTCTGAATGGATCAGAAGTTAAAAGGGATTCCAGCTTCCTTATCAGAGCCTTTATTAGGGAACCAGACTGTGACTGGTGGTGGTAGGAATGCACTTACTGGGAACTGTCTGTTCCTCCTAACCCTTCACTATTTACCGTCCCTGGGCTTCGCCCAACCTGCAGGAAGGCGGGCAGGAGCTCAGCCCAGCTGGGCAATGGTGCTGGGGATGGAGAGGTGCTGGAGGCTGCTGCCGCTCGGGGCAGGACCGCTGGCAGGGGAAGATGCTGCATGGAGGGATTCTTCCCCTGTCAGTGATGGAGAGCACACATCCTTCTGTTAAACTTCCCCTCTCGTTTTCTTTTCCAATTTTTAGTCCAATTTCTGTTCCCCTGTTAATCAGATGATCCCTGGGAACTTGGGCACTGCCCAGGCTGTTGTTGGGGGTGAGAGCTGGGTGGTGAAAGGACGAAGGCAAGTCTACAGCCTCAGATTTGCAGTCCCGTGGCAAACAAACCAAGGGGTAAGGCTTAGAGCTGTTTTACATTCAGCTCCTACTGGAGTTTCTTTTTTCCCTGCTCTTCAGCTGCAAAATGTAAATCACAACATGAAATCATTTTATTTATGAATTTTTTTCTAATAAACAGCAATTTCTACCAGGGAGTTTTATTTTCACTGAGCTCAGCAAGCAAAGCCCACGATCTGCCTGTTCCTGCTCTAATGCTGATGCTCAACGTCCTCCCTGCCCCTCCGTGCTGGCCCAGCAGAAATACCTGCACACGCAGCATCCTGCACATTTTGGCATTCCCGCAGGATTTGTGCTCATCTTTTTCACTCCACAAAGAGCGTGTGTGTCCCCCGCTTCCCCTCCTGCACTGCACTTCTTCCAACCCTCACCTAAGCTGTGGATGCAGCAGTCCAGGGCTGCTGGATCTGCTTTAGCCAAGCTAAGCCCAGACTCCAGCACCAACACCACAACCTCTATTTATTATTATTGGAGAAATCTTATCGTGCTGGAAGCCTGGACTCCACAAGAGCAGCCTACAGGTAAGACAGTCTTGCAAGTGCCTCTGCTCTGAAGCATCGCTGCTCGTACCTGCTCAGCCCATGAGACCACTGCCACTTTTCCTGCCAGGAGGTCCATAAACAAGAGCCATACGCTCTGTGCATCCAGCATCCATCCAGGGTCCTGCACATCCCAGGAGCAGGACCCTCCTGCCCACAAAGTGCAGCCTCGGTACTCAGGGACGAGGCTGCTTGGCTTTGTGACGCAGCCAGCACCGAAGCAGGGACATCTCTTGGCTCAGATGAACATCTTGGGACTCTTCCGCCTCTCTGGGGGAGAGCTGGCCACAGCTGCAGGAACAGAGGCTGCTCCGGCTCCTGGGGCGAGGACAGACTGCAAAGGTGATGATGGCACATCTGTTGGCATGCTTGTGGCCGCCGAGATAAAGACTTGTACAAGAACACAGCAAGAAATATAGTTGTACTTCATTGCGCAAGTGATTGACTCCGGCGCGTAATGGGCTGCGCTCATTGCTCTTGCCAGCAGGTGCAATTCCCACTGCAGACAATAACATTTGCCTATTTATGTCAAGCCCTGATTACTGTATTATATGTAAAACAGGTCTTTCTTGCAAGCAAAAATAGGAGGGGAGAAAAAAAAAAAATTAGCTGTGAGTCATGCAAGTCAGCAGTGTGGTACCAGCCTGAAGCAGCCGTGCTGGCTGGCTGCCGCGCCGTGCAACAGCAGGACACACGAGCCTGGCCTCCTGGTCGTCCCTTTTCTTGGAGAGGGGAGAACGGCAAGAGCTCACGGCTCAGGCTGAGCGCTGTCACGGCCTGCAGACCATTACGCTGTCAGAACGCATCCACAGGGAACAGAAATACCGCCGGTGTTGCAGGCTGGATGTTCCCCAGCAGACAAGGTCCTGTGCTCGTCCCCTCCAGCTCCTCAACAAGGACACGGGGAAAGCTGGCGGCGAGCGCGGGTGACCTACACGGGAGCCCGGCTGTGCCTGGAGCCGTGCGGGAGGAGGAACAGGCTTTTCTCACCGCCAGCCCAGGCCCCGGGGGTCGGCTGATTTGTTTTCCAGTTGTCACTTGTCCTCGGGCTTTCCCCAAGGACAAGGCTGGGCTGTGGCTGTCGGTTCTGGTGCGTTTTGGGCTCAAGTCAGGGAGGTTTACAAACCGCTCATGTTGGGGCTGTGTCCTCGCAGGGCACACCCGGGAGAGCTGGGGCCAACCACGCTTCCGACAAGCCCAGGGGCAGGAAGGTGGCCGCAGCAGAGCCAGCACTCTCATGCAGGGCTGCTTGCCTCTGATGGTGCTGCGAGGCAGGGACACTTCTTATTTTGGGTGTTAGCACCTACCAGAGTCCCTGGGCACTGGTGCCAACAGGCAGCGACTGCCAGAGCTGCATCGGAGAGCAGGATTTGTGCTTTTGCAGCCCTGTGCACAGAGACTCTTCTCCTCCCAGCTCTAGGACCTTTCCTCCCCTAAGCACAGTGAGGGTTGAGTTTCCTTTCACTGCTGACCCTCCACCTGGCCGGCTCCCTCCTGAACTAACGCTCCTCCATCCCTCCAATGGACACAACTGGCCCTGCTCCCTCCTCTTCATCCCCAGCTCCTCACTGCTGTCTCTCCAGGCAGGAGCTGAAGCAGATGAAGGTGATTTTCTTGCTCAGCACAGTGCCTGTAATTGCCCCCCAGGCTTCACCTGCATCCCTGCTCCGCCAAGCCTGCCCAGCCCCACCTCTGGCACCTAATGACCATCCATTACCTGCTGACACACAAAGCCTTTCCAGCCCTGCTTCTCTCCACTTTGCCCGACCTCTAATTCCAACTTTGGCCAACACAGCCGTCTGCCTTTAACTTATTGCCTCAGCCTGGCACAAACCAAGCATTTTCCTGCCCTTTTAGCTGTCCCCTAAAGAAAATCAACCAGCTGGAACCAGGGATTAAAGCTAACGTGGTCCCTAGGAGCTCACTGGCATGAAGTACCCCCACTTTAAAGCCCAAACAGGGAAAACCAGAAAGATGAAATATTGATGTAAGGGGTTGAAGCAGTTTATTCACAGTCACCCAGGAAAGCAGGGAAGGGATATCTCTCACCCCAAAGGAGTTGTGACCCATCTCCAAGCCAAGAGTGGCTTTGCACAGCCACCTCCCAGCATCACGATGGCTATCACTCCCCATCTGTGCTACCCACTAATTGGACACAAAGGAGCAGCCTGGGTTGGGAACACAGACACACACAGTCTGAGCATAGGATCTACCCACCAAGGAGCTTGGACAAGAGCTATCCCTTGACCATGTTCCAAATACACCCAGGAAGCACCACAGCAAGGCTGGGAGGGGGGCGAGGTGGCGATGCTGGGCTGGGGCAGATGCTTGAAAAAGCCTGAGCAGCCATCGTGCTCGCCTCAGCCCAGCCCGCCTCCCAAAAACACATTGCTCTGCCTCCCAAAAACACATCCCTCACCAGCAGCGCCGCAGCCGACAGCCATACGCTGCACCAGGGACGGACAGGCAAAAAAAACAACCCAAGGAAGACACTCCACTGAAGATCAATTCAAGCTCCAAAACGCTGACCATAGACCAGGGCAAGTCTGAAACCAGAAAATGCTTTATTGGAAAGGTACAAAAAAACCAGTCACTGCAGCTAAATTTACAGCAATAAATTACGTTGTGGCTGTCAAGAGAAAGTAATGGACACATACACAGGGCTATTCGCCTTACAAACAGGAATCCACATTGCTTGGTATATCAATAATTTATTTTATAATAAAAAAGCAGCACAAAAATAAATATTGAAATGAAATTACTGAGTAACCACAGAGGATAGAATGAGCTGGTGATAAAAAACAACTTAAAACAGAAGACTTCTATCATTAAAAAAATGAAAGCAAGTATCCACCATCTACGGAAACACCCCAGCAGACTGAAATACAGACGAAGGAAAACAAATCCACATTACAAAAGTTTTTCAGTTTTGTTTTGTTTCTTTTTTTTTTTTTTTTTAAATAAAAACAATCATGACAATGAAGTTTAAATGATTTGAGAGGAAAAAAAGAAATGCCACCTTCTCCTCCTCCCTGGGTCTGAGCCGTCCAGTGGCCTGACCGCTCCCCACTCCCATGGCATGCCCTGCCCCAGCTTGCCTCGTCACCTCCCCGGCTGTCCCCAGAGCTGCAGTGTCACCCAGGTCTCTACGCTCGCACCTTGCGGT